GGATCATTTATCTTGAGAATGGAGTTTACAGAATTGTACCATGGGATGGCAACACGGTTCCTGATGTGATTGCCAGATGCAATCTTATTCCTGAGAAGTTCGATGTAGATGGTTGTCCTTGTCCTTTTGGTGTATGGAGTAAAAAACAATTTAATTACAGAAGGGCTGGGATGCCAATACATGAAACTGTCAGCTCACCTGAATGCTCAAGAATATGGCCATATCTTATAACAAAACGATGCAAAGGAAAAATATATGCAGAGTTGTAAGTGAATTTAGTGTATAAGTTCCTTCTTGTAGTTCAACTTCTTCTATTTAGAGGATACACAGCACAGCTCTTTAATTGGCCTTGTTTTATTTCTAACTTTGCAGAAGAGATACCATATCATTGGAAGACGCACTGAACTTAGCATCCTTTCTGGGAGAGCAGCTCCGTAACCTCCATCTCTTGCCCCGGCCACCTCTTAGTGTCTCAACTTTCTCAGATATTGAACCAGAAATAGATATGCCCTTATCTAATGGTTGTATGGAGGCTGTTCCTGATAAATCAAAAATTCCAGCTGAATGGAATATTTTCATCAGGACTCTAATGAGGAAGAAGGATGTCTCAAGCCGCTTGGTTAAATGGTATATTATCTAGTACCTCTTGATAATATACAACTCTGTACCTTATTTACGTACCTGTTTTGATATACTGCTCCATACATGAATGCTGTGTTTATGATAGAGTTTGTTTCCGACAGTAGCATCTATACTAATATATAAAACCAAAGATCTCTTGCAACATAATACATCATAGTAAACGAAAACGAATATTAACTTTTGACCTTCCATGGAAGGTATCATGTGGTGAACTCAAAATGCGTCTCAGAGAACTAGACCATTCTTGTTTACCCCGAAAAACAGAGAGAGAAAAATTTATTTTTTGTAGAGGTGTCCTAACAGGTCAGATTGTTGTAGATGCTAGGTCTTGTCAATTATGTCATACTTTAACTAGAAGATTCTCATTTCATAGCCTTAGTATTCTCATTTCATAGCTTTAGTTAATCAGTTGTGATAGGTTGTGACTGTCATACCATACGTCATTGTAGTAGATATAGTTGGTTTACATTGATAGATAGTCCAGAAAAGGTTGAGTGGCTGGATTCTCTCAAAAGATTGGGATTTTTATTAGATATTCAAGGTGAAGGTATTGACTCTTGGTGTGATTATCAATAGCCAGAGTAAGTGTGTGGTGTTTCAATAAAGTCTTTCACTTGCAGTTGAGAGTAATGTGCTAAAGCACATTGCATTTTTATGCATCGTACATCCAGAGTTATATTTCTTACACATGCCACACGTGTTCTTGTTTCATGTTTGTGCTTTGTTTCATTGTGTGTATTTTTGGGCATTAGTGCTCCTGTGTATATGTTTGATGTCTTGAAATGTTGCAGAACTGGGTTTTACTTACTGAGAGATTTTTTTTCGAATCTATTGTTCTTCAGTAAGAGGTCGCACTTGGTGTGATGGCAAGTGCCTTCGCCCATGAGCGGTAGGTCTCGGGTTTGAGACTTGGGAGCAGCCTCTCCATAAATGGGGGTAAGGCTAGCCGACATTCACCTCTCCCAGACCCTGCGTAAAGCGGGAGCCTTGTGCACTGGGTACAACCTTTTTTTTTATTGTTCTTCAGTACATGTAGTGGTGGTCAAATGTATTTATTTAGTGTAATCTGAGCTCCAGTATGTTTTAAACATGGTATGAGATTATCTTACAGGGACAGCTGTTAAGTATCTGAGTTTCAATATGCAGGGGAGATCCAATTCCTGCCACACTAATAGAGAAAGTCGATGAATACTTACCAGATGATTTTGCCAAGTTGCTTCACATATTTGAGGTTTCTACCCTGTCCCACCATTTAATAAACATGTCAAGATCAATTTCAATTTTATAATAATTTAACGTAGATCACAATCTTTCAAGACCATACATATGCTTGGTCTGATTTGACCATTTACGGTTTCAGGATGAAAATGGCTTAAACAAAGTGGGTAAACTTTGTTCCTGGATACACTCAGATATCATGGATGACAACATTCACATGGAACCGTGTGGTGCTAATTCTTGCTTGATTGAGAACACCAAAGACAATGGTCTGGTAACCAATGGTTCAGTGAATGGAAATGGCAACAGTGCAGGGACTGAGTCATGGCGTCCTAGCCACATTCTTGATTTCAGTGATCTTTCTATAGGTTGGTATTTATTTATTGAATTAATTTTCCATGTGTTGCTTTATGCTTGTGTCATTGCATTAGTACTTAAATTATATGTTGATTTCTTTTATTAACTTTTCCATGGTTAATCTCTTTTTATGAGTTGCAGTTTTGGAATTTGTATGTGTTTATTTTAGTTTTCCGCTTTATTATTTACTATGCGGAGATGCCGGTTATTTTTACTATGCACGTAGTTATCCTTGTTTATAATCTTCAAATTATATATATTTGTAAAGTATCATACACTTAGTACACATCTTCAATTGGCTTTGCTGATATGATGTTTCGGCTTGTATGTAACTGTTTTCAAATTGATTCTTTTATTTCCCCTTGCAGGTGACCCCATTTTTGATATAATACCCATATACTTGGATATATTTAGAGGTGATACGCATCTCCTTAAGCGGCTTTTAGAAAGCTATAAAGTTCCTTTAGTGAGTGGAGAATCACAGAATAAGTCTGTTAAGGGTGGAGACAAGTTTGGACGGCTATCCTACCATGCGATGTAAGTAATAACCCTCGTATATGCTTGCTTATGCTGTTTTATCAATTTAGTTGGAAATATATCATATAATGTTTTAGGCATTTTCTGTGGTATACTGTATACATCATCCATGTGCTATTCAAACTGTGAGGAAAGTTACGCAAAAGGTATGCAGTGCCTTGGATGTAAAGCTAAGGAAAATTACATTCTGAACAGATATACCCTTTTAAAAAGCAAAATTACATTCTGAACATTAGCAGTCAAATTTGCCAATCCAATGTTATATTTTAAGTTCTTACATCCAATCTCTGTTCATGTTTCGTATCAGTATCGTCAATTGGTCATTGTTCTGTCAAGCTTGCATTGATGTCTATGTTTTATCCACTTTGGTGCAAAATGTTGCCCAAACAATGACGGTGGTTGAATTTATTTTGGATGGTTTCATTTGTGTAGGTGCTACTGTATTATGCATGAAGAGAATGTGTTGGGAGCTATTTTTAGCATCTGGAGCGAACTCAAGACGGCAAAGACATGGGAAGAAGTTGAGCAAGCGGTGTGGGGAGAGTTGAATAATTACAAAGGTTTCCCTGGTTTATCTTCCACTTAGCATTGACTGTTGCTAGTTTATTGTTTTATCACTTCATAAGGTCCAAATAATGCGTACAATCATGATACCATGTAAGCAGAGGCCAATGTACCCCCATTTTTATATGTGATCAACCAAGTTTCATGTTTAACTCCCGCTAAACCGAAGGTTAGTTGGTGTTATATTTAAATGCTCAAGGAATCTTAGTTATAGGCCTATACGTGGATGCAAATTTCGTACGTAATTGAATTGATGAAATTTAGACTACAAAAAAACAAATACTATTAGCATAATTGACGAACACAGAAAAACAGGAAAGCATTTGCCAAAGAATCTTCGATGCTTAAGTCAGAAAAGTCATTTGAGAAAAAATAGAACTAGAGAGAGCTTTGAATAGTTAGTTTCCTATTTGACTTGGCTATTTATAGACATAAACCCTAGTAAGCAGCTGGCAGGGGAGGTTGCAGGCCATACTAGGCAGATCGTAACGTTCTGCTAGTGACGGTGCAGACCGATCTCCACAATCTTACTAACTAGTAGTCCTAAAGATCCCTGTTGGTAAGAGCGCAAGCGTGCCGGACACCTTAAGGGAGACTTTAAAGAGTCGGCTTCCTGCCACCATTGGGCTGGATATGGCCCGATGGCAGGACATATCATGGGCCCGAAGCACCTTTGAACGTTGAAGGCCCAAATGATTAATTCTCACAAGACATACAGGTGCCACAGTCCCTCATAAAGGGCAAACAGATGCCACGTTCCCTGGAGTGATTCGTGGTCTGTTCATGATGTCAAGGGTAAAACCATCATAGCGAGCATATAATCCATGTGTCCTCTTATTGGATGTGGTTAATATGTGTATCCATAAATGCCCTCACATATGCTTGCATTTAAGTAGGAAACAAAGGGAGATGTAGGTTCTACTTGCATAGGAATTTTCTTCCAATACAAACTAAGTTTTCATGTCTTGGTAGTAAAATGTGTTCTTTTTAATTTTCCCACAAGGATTTAGTATTGAGGAGATAAACCTTACCTTACTTGAATTCTCACAAAATTCCGTACTTTAAAAATTCAGGCTTTGTGAGGAGAAGAATTCAGAGAAAATCTCAGTAAGAAATTTTCCCCCCTTTCTTCTTCCTTCCTCGATTACATAATGCATTACGGCTCAGCAGGGGGCTGCCCTCTGGTCTACCTCTCGAGCCAGGAGCTGCTGTTGGCTTTACCCAACTTGGGAAGGAAACTGGACCCGATTGGGGATGTGCTGCTTGCTAGAGCGCGGAAGGGCGCACGGGCAGGGGTTACAGGTGCGGGTTGCCTGGAGCGGGTAGGGCCGGTCCAATCAACTAATAAATTAGGGTGCGTTTGTTGCACCGGACTATCTCGGATTGGACTAGCTTTAGGGACTAAGTTGGACTGGGTTAGACTAGACTAAGTTGGACTGTCTTAGTGAAGCGTTTGATGCAGTGTTGGACTAAACAACAGGATAACAACAAATTCTAATATTATATTTGTTTTATTTATATTTTATTAATATTTTATATTATTTAATACATATTTAGTAATATTTTATTACTTCCACTGTCTATTTGCTTTTTCATTCTGAAACCACCCATCTCCATTTCTTCCTAATTTTGCACCGACCCTCTCCCTCTCTTCGTCTTTTTCTTTTCCTTTCCACTCTCTCCCTCAAAACAGCATCATTCATCACCCCCTTTTGTTCTCTTTTTTTTTTTCCCTTTCCTTTTCTTTGCTATTGTGATTCCTCTAAAGACCGAGGTGAACGCTAAGCCGAGGGAGGATGACGACGAGCCCGAAGAAGGAGAGATCGTCGGCAACCAAGACTCGGAGTCGTCGAAGCCTTCGAAGGGAATTGCGCCGCAGTCTCACGCCCTGGAGCACTCCTGGACCTTCTGGTTCAATAGCCCTGCCGCAAAGTTCGCCAAGTCCAAGCAGGAGGATTGGGGCAGCTCCATCGGCCCGATCTACACCTTCATTACCGTCGAGGAGTTCTGGAGGTTAATTTCTTTCTTTTCATGTGGTTTTGGGTTTAATTTTGTTTGGTTGGTAGGAAAACTGAGAAAAGATTGAATTTTTGCGTTTGTTATGTGCTTGCTGTAGTTTGTGATAGAACAAATTTGGCCATTTTTTGGTGGTGGAAGAACCCTCGCAGGAAGGAGGAAGAAGCCCAGAACTCACAGAAGGGTTCTCAGGGAGGAGGAAGAAGCCGGTCTTAGCAAGTCCCATGGTTTGGGGAGTGCCTCGCTAAGAACCTTTAAGATGGCCTCTAGTCCACACGAGTCCCCTTTAGTCCCACTTAACTTAGTCCCATCACCTATCAAACATGGGACTGTAGTCCAATCCAGTCCAGTCCCTCCTAAGGAGGTGAAACAAACGCCCCCTTAAGGTCTTATGCGCATCTTCTGAGATTTTTTTCCCTTTTGGACAAAAAATTTAAACCAAATACTGTAATGTTTCAACATGTAAAGTTGATCTACAATCACGAGCATACTTCACTCCACCTAAAAACTAACTTTAACAATTATCATCCCAAAATTGTCCCTAATTTATATAAAGTGAAGCGACAAGGATAATCTGTGCACGATAGAAATCTAGTTGAGTATGGATTACACCGGCAGAAAAGAGTACATCTACCTAACTCAATAAATGTTTGGGGCACACCTCTTTTTACTTCTCATACGACTGTCAGATCAAATGAATTAAAAAATATCAAATGACAGAAATTAACAAAAGTGTGTAAGATCCCAATCGGGGTATAAGCATTAGATTTTACCTTGAACAGAAAAATAAGATAAAGGGAAAATGCAGCCACAATTATTAATGACTTATAAAAAGCTCCAATATATTAATAAAACGGAAGTTCTAGTGAAAATTCCAATTACCTCAACAGCAATAGAGCAAAAACTTTAAGCAGTCATCAAGTAGCACAAAAACTGGAAAACAACACACTAACATCCATCTTTCAACTTTAACAAAACTTAGATGACTCGAGCACAAATCTATGCCGCAATAGATGGCTTTGAAGCAGCAGAGAGCCTGGACCTCTTCTTGGCCAGGCTCTCACTTCGGCGATCCCTCTGCTCCTTCAATCTTGATGCAAGGAGCTTCTGGTACTCAGCAGCCTCAGACTTGGCCTTTGCAACCCTCTTCTTCTTGTCTGCAATTCTAGCTCTCTTCCTTTGCAGGGTCAATGGAGTGACCAGTCTCTGGATCTTGGGGGCCTTGCTGACCTCCTTACCTGCGGAACCAGATGGGATAACCAAATTGAATCAAACCAAACAACTTAAAATGTAACAAATTACAATACCAAGATTGCTTATGAATCCAACAGTCTTAAAGGTACAAAATTTAAGTACCACCAGAGGACAGGAAAAGACATTAACTACATCTATACCATTTGTAGATTCTTATAATATGTAAGTCAACAAACAATAATTTTCTAGTTAAGGATTCAAAGGCATTCTTTAGAGAATAGTTTCCTAAGATAAGAATACTGGCAGTTTGTCAAACACATGAGATACAGTATGACGATGCATCAAAGTGTACAGTTTAAGAAGCCAAATCGCCCAAACATGAGCAAACAGAATGGCAACAACTAAGAAAGCTTACCTTTTTTGTTTGTGAATGTTCTACGGTATGTGTTGACATACTTGCGAACATCATCTTCTTTTGAGAGGTTAAAGAGCTTGCGGATCTTAGATGCCCTCTTGGGACCTCTCATCCTAGGCTTCTCAGTGTCGGTCAAACCAGGAAGGTCATTGTCACCCTTCTTCACAATGACCAAGTTCAAAACAGAGAGGTCGGGGCTGACAATGCATCCACGCACAGACTTCCTCCTCCTCTCACCATTTCTCCTTCCATAACCACGGAAGCAAGGAGTTCCTGACCAAATAAATTTACCAGGTTAGGACAAATGAAGACAAGCTTCTGGGAAATTTATTCATGAATGGAAAAAATACTGATATTAAGCATGAGTTTCTAACAACCTCTGTGGAGCAAGAGGCGAACACGTCCAGGGGTCAACACTCCCTGCTTCATGGGGAAACCTTGCTTGTCACAGCCTCCCATGATCTTGAAAACATAGCCCCTAAATTCCTGTTTCACAAATAATAGCCATTCAAAAAACTTGAAACCCAAATGAAGAAACACGAAAAAGACAGAAAAAAGTGCAAGTTGTATACCTCTCCAAGAGCATCTCCGCTGACCTCCTGGGAGATTCTCTTGTCAAAAAAGGCACGCCTACACAATAGCGGAAGCAAATAAAATAAAAAACTTTGCCCAATGAAATAACTAAACAACTGCTAATTTAAAATATACAAGCCAAAATCTAAGCAAACTGTTTCTGGGAAAGAATCGGAAATAAAATGCTAACATTCAAATCAAAGTTAAAAATTTCAAACCCTAGCGTTCACAAAAAAAATAAAAAAAAAACCAAATTTCACAACAAATCCGAAATACAAGGCAAATATTCAAGACCAAATCTAAACAAAAAGCAACCCAATAATCCAATTTAACAAATGCAACAAATATCAGAAATGCAAAGCAAATATTCAAGACGTTCAAGCTAGAAACAAAACATACTCAAATCGTTGAAAACAGCGGTACAAAAAATTAAAAAACATACTCAAATCGTTGAAAACAGCGGTACAAAAAATTAAAATCATGGATAAAATTGCATAAAAAAATCACATCATTTCAAGAAAACCCAGAAGAAAAAAGGCGTTACAGTTTGTGATCATCGTCGATTTCGAGCTTCTTCTGGCACCCAGTGGTGGGGTTGGCGATGTTGAACTGCACAGTAAACAGGGATTAGGAGTCAGCGAAAACGGAGAAGGAAGAAGGAGAGAGAGGAAAAGATGGGAATTAGGTGGGGAGAGAAACCTTCATGTTTGGGTCTCAGATTGCAGAGGCGGCCGCGCAACTGAGAGAGAAGGAAGATCGGCGGAAACTATATTGCGCTCTCTCGCTTGCTCTAGGGTTTTGAGCGGCGAGTGATGGGCATTTTATACTCTGGAGTTTTGTGTGGTTTGTGGGGTTTAATGCGACGCTGTCGCAATATTTGGGATGAAGGCCCAAACTTTTGTAGCGGCTAAATGGAAATTGGACTCAGCTCATTTGCATTACAAGCCCAATTTTGAGCAAATTCCTCTTTTGTGTTATCGAGTGATAGTTGTAGATATCACTTGGTCTCATGGACTCGTGATATTCTTGTGTAGTCTTTCCTCTCATTTCGGATTTATCTCTCGTTGTCAACAAAAAAAACATTATTAGTGTTTAAATATTCATGTGTAAACTAGAGATAGAAATTTAGTACGCTATGTTGGATTAGTGTTTAAATATTCAAGTAATTCATTTGTTAGGTTGCAGACTACAATTATATAATATACACGAGTTATCTTTGAAAAAAATATATGTATCTAATATCCAACATACCTCTATACAACTTAGAACAAGAGCATACTTCATATCAAATATTATATGAGCAAAAGTGTTATTGTTCTGTCATTAAAACCAAAAAACTCATCATCCGCCTATCATGTATTAATATTTTTCTCATCACTTTGACACTTTCCGCTACTAACTGAAATTTTTGTAACATTAGAATTGTGATACATCATCATTTGAAATCATCCATATTATCATATTGGGTATAAGTCATACTATAATAAGATTTTCTTAGTTGTTTTGCGGGTCGTCCCCATTAGAAATTTGTTTTAGCTCCGTCCCAGATTAGGCTTATCCCTTATGCACTTATTGTAATTAGTGAAGGACTCGTAAACTTTTAGATGGAGCACACAAGAAGTTAGGCTTATGCATTTTTATAAATTCACCAACTGAAAATATAAACATAAGGCATTACGCGAAAGAAAAGAACACGCAAGAAGTTCTATTATCCCTTTTCTCTTTCTCACGTTTTTTATTTTTTTTTGGGTGTTAGTTACACACCCATTTATTTCTCACACCCATTTTTAATACTTTTTAATTCATTAAACCAGATGATTAAAAATTTAAAAAGCCGTGTAGAAGGTAGAAAGAGGTACATAAATAAAACTGCTTGTTTTTTCTCTCTAATTTTGCTCTACAACCAGACTTTTTTTTTTATTAAAAGAATGTGTATGTCTTGCACATTTGCATTATGATACTGAAGTTTACTCATAGAGCTCTTTCTTTTTTATTGCATAGAATCGGGTTGTACTCTTGGACATTTTCTTTAATTTTATTGCTCTTTCTATATAAAATAAATAAATGATAAGTCGGCGTAATTATATCAAACAACGTAACCATCACAAACCCTCTTTATTAATCATGTGGCGTTGGGATTGACCCATCTGATAAGCCCCAAAAACCACGTCACCATCACAACCCCTCTTTTGATGGTTATCCTCAACTTATCGTCTATATATTGTATTAATTTATTTTCAGCTCCATATTATTAAGGATTTAGTTTGGCTTCACAATGAACTGATCATAATACGGTTCAATTTCACTTCATCTTTGAGCATCGAATCAAAAATCTTTCTCTTACATGTAAAGGAAAAAGAAATACTACTACACTATAATACTAAGTGACACACTTCAAGTGCACATTAGTTTTTGGGATCACCGCTATTTTTTGTCGGTGTCTTTGTAAGATAGTTACTAAAAGCCAATTTCTCTACATTTTTGTCTACTCCAAATTATATATGTATTTTACGGTGTTGAATTAAATAAATTAAACGAGAATCAAAATATATAAATAAAATATGATATGCACGAGGAGAAAACGATGTGCCGCTACCATGAACTGGTTGGTCTCAATATTTGCTCATGATATTTTTGCACATTCATATATTTTTCTCCTTCAAAAAACAACTATTTCATTACACATTTGACCATGTGAGGGTTAAGGCTCTGCAAGAACAGAAAGAAAATGTTCCAACGAACACATTGCACAGAGCAATGAGCAAAAAATATGTTCCAACGAGCACATTGCACAAAACAATGAGCAAAAAATATGTTCCACCTCACTAGAACCGACCAAGAAGGACGAGGAGATGTGAACTGAAACCAGAGTCGCTCGAAGATCAATCGAGCTTCCTTGCTCATCCAAGGGGTTCATATGGGGGAACCCTCGAACCGAAGGGGCATTCAGTCGCTAGGTTTCTCAAGGATTCTCGCATTTGGAGTTAAACTCATCTAGTTTAAACTAGTTTAAATGGACTATACAATAATTTTCCAATTTAGGGTGGTAATTTGTGTTGGCAAGTTCTGTTCTCATCAAACTTGTTTAATTAATGTATCAGATGACTCGATAACAATCAAACTCGTTTTTCGAATCATGTTCAAAGAGATGATGAAACGTATCATACAGCTGGGTTTGCCTTAAAAAACTCATAGGTAGCTACTGCTGCTAGGTAAGAAACAGAGTAACAGACGGGGGATTGGTGTCAATTTTGCACATAATACTTTTGTACATATCAATTCACAAATCAAACCTATACAAAAGCAACATACAATCTTCAGCCAAGAAGCAGTAAGCATTTCAAACAAAGGAATAGCTTTTTTCTTAAGTGCTTATGCAATAGAACTTCTAG